GTCCTCAAGCAGTGGATTTTAAGGTCAGGGAACCGTCATTTCCTTTAGGCCCTCTTCAACCCCACCCAGGCCAGCCACTTGATTGACATCAGGCCATTGGGATCTCTGGGCTCCTGCCCTTCCAACTTTCCTGCTCAAATACACCCTTAAAGAATTTGGGGAAACTATGTACCCCTTACACATTTTAAAGTCAACAACTAACATTTTTAATCTTCAGTTTAAATACTGCAAAGGGTACACTTTCTGGGAAATTGTAAATACTTACTACAATTATGCGACTTAGAAAGTCACATAACTCTTTTAGATGTAGCAGATGGAATATAACACCATAGCCCTTTCATGTTCATTAACACCCTTTTAATAAGTGAACAAGTCCATTAGCCAGTCAGCAAATTTACCTCATTTATTTTTCTTTTTAGTTCCTTTTTCCATTTCATTTCCCCTATAGAGTTTGGTCCTAATGAAATATTGTTTGCATTGTATCACCTTTTTTGTATTTTAGTGTCTTTTTGGAAAGTCTTTTATTGTTTATCTCTATAACAAAAATATGTACATATCAATAAATTGGAATTTATTTCCTGTGACCATAAGACTACATTAAAAACCATTATTCTGCCCTGGGTTTATAATTACAATTATTAAAAGATGCAATTGATCAAAACTACAAATATTGACAATGATTAAACAGAAAAGTAAACTTCTACTAAAAATTCATCTCTTCATGAGATGGAAAGGGCTGATTTGTAGTTTCCATTGACTTCATTTGGTAGCTCCAGGAAGAGCACCCAGGTCCAGTTCAGGGTGGGCGAGAGAGCTCGGCCTTCCTCTGTCTAGTGAGAGAAGGGTCACTTGTTAATGGAGGCATGTGGAAAAGGAGAACACAGTTCTCAGGCAGATTCATTTTAGGAAGGGACACATATGCTTCTGGAAATCGATCCCCTTACAACTTAGTCCTGCCCACGTCCCCCCTGGGAGAGTTTTCATGTTCAGCCAGAGGTATGCAAACCATAAGCTATTATAGAGAGACTTAACTTGGTTTCTCGTTCTCCAAAATAGGGATCCCAGAATGGGAGAAATGTGGGTCTGAATGTCCTTGTAACTCTGAGAGTTGCATTTCCAACCCTCCACTGGCTGAGTTCCACATCCCTATGCATATGGGCAAGACAGGAACTCAGATGACTTCCAGATCTCTGTAGGTCCATGGCTGTTATGAGGGCATCTGAATGTTCAAAGTCCTGCTCATTGGCAAAGACGCAGCCTAGAGTCAAAATTAGAAAACATGGTTTTTTGTTTTCCCATTTCATGGAAGCACCATGGTCTCCTGGTAGTTCCCAGCTGGCGGCCACCAGGTGGCAGCAGAGAACACAGTGCTGCCAGCCCTGCCCGGAGAGGCGGTGGGAGGGGAGAGGACTGGAGGTGAGGTAGGGGTGTTCACTTTGGCTGTCAGAGGAAAAAGAAGGGGGAGGCGGGGGCTAAATACCGATCTCAAGAGGGGACAGAAAATATTGAGAACAACACCTTCCGGGTTCAGAATAAAACAGAAGGAATGAGGAAAGGAATTAAGGAGTTAGGCTAAATTGGGGAGAATTCAAGGGAAATCAGAAGGGTAGAGATGGGCTTGAGGGCAGAGGCCCAGGATGCCTCTGGGGGATCCATTGTCTGTACTCCTCCTGGGGTGGGTCAAGATCTGGCTCCTCCTGAGATCCGTGGCCCACCTTAGAGGCAGGTGGGCCAGGGGTTTTCTGGAGGCTGGGGTCCTGCTGGCCAGGGGTCATCAGGCCGGGGAGGTTGAGGGGGATCAGTTGTAGGGGGTACAGGAGGCCAGACTCCAGATTCAGGCAGGTCTCTCCAGGGACAACTGGGGCCTGGAGGTGGAAGGTCCTCAAAGAGAGCGGGTACCCCTGGCCAGGGGTCACCAGGGATTGGGGGGCCCTGAGGCAATGTTGGGGGGCCCTCGTCCTCTGAGGGCTCTGTGGATGAGGGAGATGGATGGTCTCCGCTGCCTGAGATGCCTATAGAGGAGGAAGGAGAAAGATAAGAGGTTGTCAGGATCCCCCCTCTCCCCGTAGCTACGGACCCAGGGAGCATCAATCACCTCTCTGCGATGGACCACAGCCCGAGCTGATCCCACAAACAAAACTCAAAAGTAACTCTCACACATTCACAAAATACCAAAGTGATCTTAAAATGACATGAAACGCTGTCCTGAACTATTGACTGGACCAACTTTAAACTGACAGGATCCCCTGCTCCCCCCACATAAGCTCCATCCAACCCCGGTTGGGACACCCGACTGGCAGGGCCACTATATGTGTCTGCAGTCCCAAAGCTGTCTACACCCTGGCACCGCGTGGCACCCAGACCCCATCTCTACGATGACCTCCACCCCCTTAACACGGACCTCAGCTCTGATGAATACTCGCCCCACACCTGAATGCTGATCTAAATCGCCACATGGAGTTACACCCAAACCAGCAAAACATTTATTCTGTGCTAAATGCACCTTCGCGCATCACCTCCATCCCCTTAACTCTTCCCCTCATGTGAATTCCCAGGATCTCCCTATCCCTATGCATCCATCTCACCCTTGCCTCATCTTTACTGTCCCCCATCACCCCAAATCACACTCCGGGCCTCTATTCCCAGCTCACCTCCGGCAAAACAGGCAAAGGACCAGGATCTCCAGGAGTTTCCAGTTGAGCATCTTGCCTGTCTCCTGGACCCCAAAGTCAGGGGTCGGCTGAGTCTGGGTGCTTGGGAACCCCAAGAGTCTTTATAGGGGAGGACGGGGAAGAGGAGGCCAATCTCTGGGGAGGGACCGGCCCAGTCACACAAGGAATCACATCCGAACCTAACTGGTCAAACCCATTTGGAAGGCCGTGGCTAAAGTGTAACCTCTGATGGTGGTGTCCCTCATTTTAGTCCCCCAGCTAAGGACCCAGCCACCCAGGCTCTATTGATGACCCAGACCTTGGTCACCCCACCATTGTTTTCATGTCCTCCTTCATACACACCCTGCAGCAACCCCTAATAACAGGGACTTCCACCTCTAATCCCTCAAGGTCACTGGAAGCCAAGGAACGGGAGCAAACCACACGTGGGGGAGCAGTGTAATTACAGGGGCTGGGAGGCAGGATGCTGGGCAGGGGGTGGGCAACCGGGGGGAGGACAGGGGGTGTTCCCTTGAACAGCTGCGACACAGCTAGAACGGTCTCAGCTAGTACACCAAGCCTCCCCCACCCATCCCAGTGTGAACCCTCTCCTTGGGGCTCAGCCCTTCCTGGCATTTCCCAGCATATGCCTTCTCCAGGCGTGAAGGGGGCCTCCCAAGCAGTGACATCTGAGAATTTCATCCAGGAGCCACCTGGGGTGACTGCAGGTGAAGGAAAAAGTACGAGGACACCCTGATTCCTTCTCCCCACCCCAGGGCTGGTTCCATCAGTCACACCCAGAGGCTCGGCAAGAAGTTGCCTCAGCTCCCCCTGGCATCTCAGCCTCTTTCTCCTCCCTCTGGAATCCTCCTCACTGCCCCTTGAGCCCCTCTCCGTGTCCTTGGTGTGAACTCTGTGCCCACCCCTTCTCTCCCCTCCTCCTTCAGTTGTCAGTCTGTCTGGTCTGAGTCGTTCAGAGATCCTGCTAGAACTTTTCCTCAGCAAGGACTCCTCTGTCTGGACATCTCATGAGCCTCTCAAGTAACGTGTCCAAACTCACTTCCTCCCCGGGTTGACCCCACCGGGTCGTCCCCCACCGGGTCTGCTCCCCCGCAGGAAGGGACACTACTGTCCCTCGTGGCTCACTTTTGAGGACTTCATTCCTCTCTCTCCTCATCCCGCGGCCACACCCCAAACCCATCCTCCACAGCCAGCCAACAGATCTCTTAAAAATGTCAAGGGGGGCTTCCCTGGTGGCGCAGTGCTTGAGAGTCCGCCTGCCGATGC